AGCCTGGTCCGGTGAGAACCCGGCGTGCTCCGTCCCGGCTTTGTAGGGATGCGAGGTCAATGGTCTAACGACTACGGCATGCACGACTATGAGTACCCCCCCCCCCCGCCCCCCCCGACAACCTGAACATAAATTTCACGCAAATTGTTTCATCATCGTCCGCGCGGAATATGTAAAATACAACGATTTCTTTGCCACCTAAATTTCGACCTGACGGACGTTGCGTTCGACGTGTTCCCGAAAGCCATCTCATCCAAGGGCAATCCAAACTACACCACAACTGACTAATGTAATTCGTCTGCTTCATCACTGCTATCCAAGCATTGGGCTTCCCGCGAGAGACGGTCTGCAACAGCACTCATGGTGGAACTGCGGGCTGAGGCACACAACAGCATTGCAATCTTGTGCCAGTTGTCGCGCAAAACGCTTCCTCTTAAGACTGCCGCCAGAATTGGATGGGACGAACACATTGAGCCAACTAGTCGGCGGTGATCACAGCAGCTACAGCCCTCCGGTCGTTGGTACCATATCCAACCAATCAATCAACCATTCCTCTCTCACCGGTACGCGGTGGTGGGCGCGGTGGGACAAACAAGGACGTCCAGCTTCTCGAAAACCGTGGAAAAATCACGGGAAAGCCCCTCGCGAATCGCCTGCGCCCGCTTGTAGTACTTGTCCGAATACCCAGAAGACAGGGAGAAAGTTCCTAGAATAATCCGTTGTCGAACCTGTTTGTGGTCGTTCGTTGCGGGTGAAGTATAGCGCCCAAACAGCGATGTAGGTCTCACCATGTCTGCAGCAATCCAGAGGCTGGTTCGCGACACGAACGTATGGTTGACAGTGATCGCTTACAAAAAACGCCGCATCGATCAGGGTTTGTCATACGATCGACGATTCCGACGCTGTGACGACGTGCATATCACGTTTGGCAGCGATTGCGTATGAAGGAAGTGGGGGTTGGCACATACGACAACAGCACATTCGGCACAAACAGGCCTTCAATATCCCACGATCTCACCGCGGGAGACAAGAAAATGACGGATCGCACCACGGTGGACGCCTTCGCCCCCCCCCCCCCCCCCCCCCCCC